GCTTGGACTAGATTTGAACCTCTATCTTCAAATCCCAGTCTTCTGAGTAGCTAGGATCACAGGCATGAGCCATTGGCATCTGGCATACTGCCTGTCTTCACACTTGAGGTGCAAAGCTTTTGGCCAAATATAGTTGTCAAACTTAAGCATGTATGGCAATCTCCTGGAGAGAGTCTGCTGGTTTTCCTCCTCCTCTCCTCCTGCCACCAGAAGGGATCCTATAGGTCTGAGGTAGGACCTAAGCACTTGCCTTTTTAACAAGTCACAATGATGTTGGACATACTTAGAGAACCACAGTCTCAGGAGCTTGCTACTTCCAAGTGTGATTCATGGGTCAGTAGCCTCCACTTCATCTGGAATCCAGCTTTATGTAATTTCTTACCTCACATGTCCTGAATTCAGAGCTACATTTTAACACAATCCCCAGTTGAGTTGTGAGCAACTTAGTGCGGCTTAGAGCCACCAGAATGAGCAAACACGGGCTGGGAAGGTGGCTTAGTGGTAGAGCGCTTGCCTTGCATGCCTGAGGCCCTGGGTTCGATTCCTCAGCACCACATAAGCAAAAAATAAAAGCCGGAAGTGGCACTGTGGCTCAAGTGGTAGAGTGCTAGCCTTGAGCTGAAGAGCTGAGGGACAGCGCCCAGGCCCAGAGTTCAGGCTCCATGACCAGACCCCCCCCCCCAAAAAAAAGTCTCAGAATGCACAAACACTAGGGAGCAGGGGCAGATGGAGAACATCTCTTCTCATGCATATGAAAGAAACAACAAAGAGGGGTTAAGTGTTCAGGGGGACACCCAGAGTAGAGGGAAGGTGAGGGCTGTAAAGGACAGAAGATTCTTCCCTGAAGAAGGCAGGGAGAACAAGAAAGTGTGAACAGGAGAGTGGGGTGGGCCTTAGAGGAAAGGCTCCATCATCAATATAGTGGAGAGGCATTATATTGCAAGTGCAGGATGAGGAGATAGATAGCACTCTGGGGCCAAAGCCTTCAGCAGGGAGGATAGTAGCTGTGAGGATGTGAAGGTGAACATCTCCGAATAAACCACTGGCTGAGAAGCCAAAAGAGCCAAAGTGAGAGCGCACGAGTTTGAAGGGACTCAATCAGGCCAGTGTTTTGACTTTGTCCTGCAAAGTAGCAGTGGAAAAAACCAGTAGCCACACAGGAAAGGGAATGGGTCAAGTTTGGGCACAGGATACTACAGGCCAGTGTACTCATAGTGGAAGGTCCAGACTGTGTGGGAACATAGAATAGAAGGAATAAATGCTATCGGAATCTTTTTGTTTTTATTGCTAGTCCTGGGGCCCTGAGCTTCTTTTGCTCAAGGCTAGTGTTCTACTGCTTGAGCTACAGATTCACTTCTGGCTTTTTAGGCAATTTATTGGAGATAAGAGTGTCCATATACATTCCTGCCCAGGTTGGCTTTGAACCACAATCTTCAGATCTCAGCCTTCTGAGTAGCTAGGATTACAGATGTGAGTCACTGGTGCCTTACAACCTTATTTTTTTTTAAGCTTTTGTTTTTTATTTAAAGAAAAAGGTGAGCTGGGCACCAGTGGCTCATGCATGTAATCCTAGCTACTCAGGAGGCTGAGATCTGAAGATCGCAGTTCAAAGTCAGTCCAGGCAGGGAAGTCCAATCTTACTTTCAATTAACCAACACAAATGTGGAAGTGGAAGTTTGGCTCAAGTAGTAGAGCAACAACCTTGAGTAAATAAGTTAAGGGACAGAACCCAGGTACTGAGTTCAAGCCCTAGGACTAGCACAAAAAAAAAGTGGAGGAAATCCTTCAAAAGGTATGGACTTACTGTTTCTTCTGCTATATATTTTGTATATAAATAACTTAAATAGAAGCATTCTGCAGCTTGGACATGCTACAACACATTCTATGGGGTGGTCAATAGGGCCTGGGTTAAGATAGTTAGGGAGGAGGAGCATTGCTAGGAATTCCCTGGCCTTGGCTCCAAGCCACATAAGAAGTACAGAAAGCCAGGTGGTGGGTCATATCTATAATCCTACCTACGTGAGAGGAGGAGATCTGGAGGATTGTGGTTTGAAGCCAGCCTGGTTAAAGTATTTGCAAGATTCCATCTCAAGCAATAAAAATCTGGGTGCAGTGGTATGTGCTGACTATTCCAAAGAGGTAGGAAGTCTAAACGGGAGAACTTCAGTCCAGACTGGCCTAAGCACAAACACATGATTCTATTTGAAAAGTAAAAGCAAAAAAATGGCCAGGGGCATAGCTTAAGTGATAGAGTGCTTGCCTGGCAAGCACAGGCCCTGAGTTCAAATCCCAGTACTGCCAAAAAACAAGCACAGAAAAAGGAGGAGATGAGAAGGAAATACACTATTTCCCTACCTGCTTGTCTCTTCTAACATCTTTTGGCTCACTCATTCATCTCCTAGCAGAGTCCTTTCTTTTCAAGGACCCACAGGGAACTAGGAGATGAGGTACAGTTAAGGCTCCCACGCCTACTTCACATGCAACTCTCCTCTCATTCCCCCACAAAACAGCACGAGGGAGACCATGCTCTCAGTGTCAGGCATACCTGTTTGAATTTCTGCTACATTCTATGCCAACCTTGAGCTAATTTTTTGCTTCTCTGACTTTTGTTTTCTTCCTGCTAACCTCTGTAAGGGCAGGAACACTTTTTTTTTCTGCTCTGTCTCCACCAAACACTGTGCAAAGTACATAATTAAGTTCCCATGAATGTTCATGTAATAAGAGACATAAAACCCATCCATCCTCTCCTTGTATCTACTTGGTTTAAGGCACTATTTTTCTTTCTTTTTGTTGGCTTAAACTCAGGGTGTCATGCTCATTTGGCTTGTTTGCTTGCTCAATGACTTGCTCTACCATGTGAGCCAGGCTGGTTTTTTGCTGGTTAATTGGATAAAGTCTCATGGACCTTTCTATTGAACTGGCCTCAAATGGATCCTTTAGGTCTCAGCCTCTTGAGTTGCTGGGATTACAGGCATGAGCCACTGGTGCCTGATTAAGCCACCATTCTTTCCTTTCTCTTTTTCCTTTTTCCTGTGCTACTAATGGGGCTTAAACTGAGGGCCAGGGAACTCTCATTTAGCATTTTCACTCAAGGCTGGCTCTTCAGCACTCGCCACATTTCCAGTTCCGGCTTTTTTGCTGGATAGTTGGAGCTAGGAGTCTCACAGACTTTGCTGCTTGGGCTGGTGATCCTCAGATCTCAGCCTCCTGAGTGGTCAGTTACAGGCATGAGCCACTAGTCCTCGGCAAGGCACTATTTTTGACTGGGCTAGTATGAGGATGATTAAGTTTTGTAATTCTTTTCTGGTTCTTTTTGAAAAAAAGGCACTATGACATCAAACATTAAGAACTTCTCTGTTACTTTCTATGTGAAATTACTGGGGAGAAGCAAATTCCTTATTTAAAAATTCTTTAAAACTGGGCTGGAAAGGTGACTTAGTGGTAGAGTGCTTGTCCAGCATGCATGAAGCTCTGGGTTCAATTCTTCAATACCATATAAACAGAAAAAGCCGGAAGTGGTACTGTGGCTTAAGTGGTAGAGTGCTAGTCTTGAGCAAAAGAAGCTCAGGGACAGTGCCCAGGCCTTGAGTTCAAGCCCCAGGACTGGCAAAAAACAAAAAACCATATATTTAAAACTATTTTTCCAAACAAGAGAAAGTATGCTTCTGCCTCCTACCAAGGCCAGGTATCCTCCTCCTTCCCTCCTTTTTATCCTCCTCCTCCTCTTCCCCTTCATAAGGAAGAATGGCTACCAGACATTGCCCACTTGGAAAAATATAGCTCATTAGATATGAATCAGCTTGGGCTGGCGAAAAATGATTCACATATGACCAACTTGATTTAGTTCAGGTTGTTCACTCAGAATCTTTCTCCCTTTTAATTAAATGGTGATTGGTCTTGATGGTAGGAAGGTAGAGGCTGCATTTAGTCTGTATTCATGGAAAGCCAGGGACAGGATGGATAAGGGCATGTTTTCTCCTTGGCAGAGCCCTAACATTTATGGAGGAGGGTGGAGTGGCAGTGGTATTGGAGGTGCTAGCACTGTGGAGTCCTTGTTTTTTTTGCTGGTCCTGGGGCTTGAATTCAGGGACTGGGCATTGTCCCTGAGCCTCTTTGCAGTCAAGGCTAGTGCTCTACCACCTGAGCACAGCAATACTTCCAGATTTTTCTGAGTAGTTTATTGGAGATAAGAGGCTCAAGGACTTTCTTGGCTAGGCTGGCTTCAAACTGTGACCCTCAGATCTCAGCCTCCTGAGTAGTTAGGCTTCTGGAGGTCTGTGCAGTCTGGTGACCAGTGGTCTAGAACTCTACCTTTCCTGTGATCCTATCTGAAAATGGTGGCTCATGACTTAACTCACCTCCAGGGAACACAAGAACACTTTAGCTTAATTAACCTACTAGACACAGCCCTTGAATCACTGGGCACAGTTGGGGCTGGGGAGAAGCCCCTCTCATTTCTCAGAGGGGAGGCCAGCCCATTGCTGCTGGAGGTGCTCATAGCTGATGCAAATGTTCTCCAATATGTGTCTACCTTGGGTAGGCTATTTGACAAATCCTGTTTCCTGTGTCCTGGGGCCGCTTAGCTACTCAGGCTCTTGGGCAGAAGAACCTGAGGACCCTGTTTCCTGTGGCATGCATTGGCCATTTGACAGCTGTGAGCACCCACTACATGGCAGGCACTGTACCATGATCTAACAATAGCTACAGTGTACAGACAGTCGCCCTATCTCTTCCCAGCAATTCTAGGGGATAATATGAAATGTCTTCAATGTAAATGGAGCCCAGAAAAGCAAGGAGCCCACGAGTTAAGTGGAAACCCCATTCAAATCGCTGGACATTTCATTAGAGTCAGTTTATGATTAAAGAAGGCCTTCATTGCATTTGATATTTTTCACATTAAATTAGAAGGAAATCCCTTTCACATATGAGCTCCTTGGACCTTTCCTAGTCAGTCCTCATAGGTGCCCTTCCTAATTTTTTTGCTTGCTTGCTTTCCCCAGGTGTTGACTTCAAGATGAAGACCATAGAGGTAGATGGCATCAAAGTACGGATACAGATTTGGTGAGTTGTGTTGGAGCAGACCCTGAGGTTCATCTGGGATAACTATCTCTATGATGGTGTATGAGCCTTAATCTCTGATGTTTTTCTTAATAAACTTTATGGGAATTGTAAGTCACCAAAGGTCAGGAATTAGAAGGAATTGGTAACGTAATCATTATCTCTGAACCCTGGGGTTGTACCACATGGTAGTTAAGACTGGAAGGATGGAAGGTTACATCTTAACTATGGCGGGGAACTCTTGGTGAGAGTTCAGTGCAGTTTCTGCCAGTAGCCACTAGGGGCCGCTGTAGCACTCTGGCAGTGTCGAAAGTACTGTTTTTGCTTCATGTGGAGCTACCATAGAATCCCAGAATATCATGGCAATGACCTCAGAGGCCTCATGGGCATTGGGGAGGGTCAGTATCCTCTATCTGGCCAAGTCTGCACTGGTCAAATTTTAGAGAGAGCTATCCAAGGCCCAGTTAAGATTGTAGGTTGTCCAAGTACAAATATAGTTGTCAGTCGTCAGTTGAGGCCTAGGCCAGTGGACCGAGTCTCTCACTGCAGAGTCAGGGCTTTTGATCCCCTTGGGGTTCCAAGTACCTCAGATTGTTCACATCACAGCTCCCAAATTTCTCTTTCAAGGGCACAGGGGCTCCCAATTCCTGTTCTTCCCCTCCCTATCTGCTCCTGTGGTCCATACTCTACTGAAGGACTGGCTTTGTATTGTAGGGACACAGCAGGGCAGGAGAGATACCAGACCATCACAAAGCAGTACTATCGAAGGGCACAGGTGAGTCAGTGTTTTCAGGGGTTAGAGGTGGGACACTGCTACTCATGCCCCTGGGTCTGGATGCTTGAGATGTTTGTGTCACTTACCCCTGAAATAGGCTCTCAGATTGCCTGTCAGGGAGGGAGCCTAGAACAGCCTTCTGGAGGTTGGCTGATTGTTCATTCCTCAGTTATTCTTAGAGACTTACTTGAGGCGGGTTCTCTATCCTCTCCCCTCCTTTTTTCCCTCCACCCAGGAACAATGACCAGATCAAAGCATGTGGTGCCTTCCTACCCCCAGAGCAATCTGTGATGGATCTAGAAAGAGGCAGGTGGGGGGATCTGGGAGAGAACTTAACATTTCTGGATGCTGAGGGGTTCTCATGTCAAGCAAGGAGAAGGGAAAATGGGCCCAACAGTTAAGCATCACCCTTCTGGGTCCATGATTGTGCACTTTCTCTGTGCATCCACCTCCCCCCTCTCTCTCTTTTTCTCTTCTCTCAGGGAATATTTTTAGTCTATGACATCAGCAGTGAGCGCTCCTACCAGCACATCATGAAGTGGGTCAGTGATGTGGATGAGGTAGGAGATCCCTACTTCACTGACAGGGGTGGGGAAAGGGTAAGCTCTCAGGGTGAGTGGGTCAGTGCTTCCAGGAAGCCTTGCCTTCCACAGCACTGGGTAAAGTCCTCTGGGCAAGTAAATCATGAAGAGGAAGCTGAAGCTGCCTTTCCCTCATGCTCTGTACATAGCCTCAGTGGCTATTCCCTCCCTGTAAATTAGTTTGTTCCCAGCCTTCCTTGTGAACTTCCTAAAACCTCAGGAGCAGATGAAATTGTGAGACTGGGCTTTTAAATCTGGCTCTGCATATACTGGTGGAACTTTGGCGAGCCATGTGAACTCTCTAGTCCCCAGTTCCTCATCTGTTGAATGAGAGCTGGATCAAGTCCAGGGTCTTTTGCAGCTCTAATACCACTTGTTCAACCCAAAAATAGAGCATTAGCTAGCTTGTCTTCTACCCTAAGCTGTCCTCCTGACATTCCTGGGATAGCCATGGTAGTACCAAACCCTTTACATACTGTGTGTTTTCCTATACATACCCACCTATGACCAACTTTAACCTGTAAGTTAGATACAGTAAAAGATTAATAATAGTAATGAAACAGAACAATTATGGTGTAATAAAATGTACTTAAAAATCTATGAATGGGAGCTGGGAAGGTGGCTCAGTGGTAGAGCATTTGCCTTGCATGCATGAGGCCCTGGGTTCGATTCCTCAGCACCACATAAGCAAAAAGCCGGAGGTGGCGCTGTGGCTCAAGTGGTAGAGCGCTAGCCTTGAGCTGAAGAGCTGAGGGACAGCGCCCAGGCCCAGAGTTCAGGCCCCACGACCGGACCCAAAAAAAAAAAAAAAAAAAATCTATGAATGGTTTGTTTCTAGAACTTTCCACTTCATATTTTTAGACCCCTAGTTGACGACAAGTAACAGAAATGGTTAGGAACAAAACTGCAGATAAGGGATTCTCCTGCACCCCAGTTAGCCTACTGTCTTAAGCTTGGTTGTGATGTGGAAACCAGTGGGACTGTAAAGGGAGATGGGAAAGAGAAGGGACCAGTGCCCTCACTGGCATTTCTGCCTATCCTTTGCCCCTAGTATGCACCAGAAGGGGTCCAGAAGATTCTAATAGGGAATAAGGCTGATGAAGAGCAGAAGCGGCAGGTGGGAAGAGAGCAAGGGCAGCAGGTAAGCGGGAGTTACCTTTGGGTCTTTGGCAGTACTTTCAGAACAAATCCTGACAACAGAGACCCAGAAATATACCTCCTTATCTTCAGATCCTATGAGTGGGGATCCAGGAGTGTGCTCTCCAGTCTTGAGAACAGAATCCTAGGAGTGCACTCCCCATTTTCAGGTTCTCTTTCAAGTCCCATGGCAGCCTGTGGCACTGGGGGAACTGACACTGTTAAGAGTTTGCTCTCTGTCCTTCAGGACAATGATCAAAGGTCAGTTGAAACCCAACTGTCTCTTAGGCAGCAACTCCTGCCGGTCCATACCCCCCAAATAAGATCAGCCTCTATTTAAAGCATCATCCTCATGACAGTGACAAGGAAGGACTCTGAGTTGCTGATGTCTTCTGTAACAGTATCCAGGCCACCTAGAGAAACCATGGAGCAGCGAGGGTAGGAGACAATGCTAAATGAATATCCAAATATCCAGGGACTTTGGCCTTGAGGTATGTGACTCAACTGGTTGAGCACCTGCCTACCAAATATACAGGGACCATCTTCTTAAGAGAACAGAAACAACAATTGATATTCTGATGTAAGAGTTATCCACCCACTTTGAGGGCTTCAAGAGTTCCTCTCTCCCTCTCCAGTCAATAGCATTTCCATTAGCCCTTAAAATAAAATTGATTTTTTTTGTTAAAAAAATACATAGCATCAAGAAATGTGAACGCAGAGGCTAGCCTATTAGAGTAACAGTATTTATCTAGTACTGCATGTGTGGCACTGTACTGAGGGCTCCTAGGTGATGATCCTATTTAATCAACCCACAGCCCTGGCTGACAGACACTGTCATTCCCTGTTAGCAGAAGACGAGCCTGGAGCTTCGGGAGAGCAGTAACTTGTCCAGGCTTGTGCAGCTGTGAGGTAGATTACGGGGACTGCAGTCTGAGACTGTTGGACTCCAATGCCTTTTTTCCTCATTTTTATTTATTTTTGAGATTGAAGGAGAATTCAAATAGATACAGACAAACACACATCTGATTGAAGTGTGATGAAAGAGTGCACGGAATACAAAAAGAGTATGTTCAAAGCTTATTAGAGAAAGCCAGGCACTGGTGGTTCGTGCCTATAATCCTACCAACGCAGGAGGCTAAGATCTAATGATTGCAGTTCAAACCAGCTTGAGCAGGAAAGTCCACAAGACTCTTGTCTCCAGTTAGCCACCAAAAAGCCAGAAGTGGAGCTATAGCTCAAGTGGTAGAGTGCCAGCCTTAAATGAAAAAGCTAAAGGACAGTTCTCAGGCTCTGTTCAAGCACCTGTATCAGAACAAGGAAAACAACAGCTATTAGAGATGAAAGAAAGATGGCTGCCTCTATTGATCTACCATACTGTATCTCATGTGTACAGGGGGGCTGAGGAGGGACACACACACACACACACACACACACACACACACGGAGAAAGACAGAGAGAGAGAACGAACATCTTTCCCTCTGCCAGCCTGTGTCTTAGAAGGAACTCTTCAATTTCCTCTGAGAAGTGATCTACTCAGAGGCATTGTGAGCACCGTGGCAGACGTAGGTACCCAGTGGCATGGCCATTCCCTTCCTTTGCTGACTCTTTCAGACATCTTCTTCTCTCGCAGCTGGCCAAGGAGTACGGCATGGACTTCTATGAAACAAGTGCCTGCACCAACCTCAACATTAAAGAGGTGAGAGCCCTGGGCCAGCTGCCTGTCTCTAGAGCCCAGCACAGCGGGAAGGTGAGAGGGGGAAGTGGCGCACGGGAGCCAAGATAAGCTGGAAGTTGTCCCTTGGGGCGCTGCAGGGTTGCGGGGCGGCAGACCGGCACGGGACTAACCTGTGCCCCTTGGCTTTCCAGTCTTTCACACGCCTGACGGAGCTGGTGCTGCAGGCCCACAGGAAGGAGCTGGATGGTCTCCGGACGCGTGCCAGCCACGAGTTGGCATTGGCAGAGCTGGAAGAGGAAGAGGGCAAACCTGAGGGCCCAGCAAACTCTTCAAAAACCTGCTGGTGCTGAGGGTCCTGTGTGGGGTGCCCCCACCAACTCCCTTCCCTCACGAGGTCTGGGAGAGCAGGGGAGCCTGGGCTCTGCCCACTGCTTTCCTCTCATTTGGTGACCCTAGCTGCTACTCTCCCCGCCTGGCCCCGAGAGCAGCTCTGCTGTGGTGTCTGAGCAGCCTCTGTCCCCAGCCCCTGGACTCTGGAGCAGTGTCCTTCAGCCTGTTTCCCCAGCCACAGGTCTGTTGCCAGCCCACAGTGTTCTGTAAGCACCGATTCGCTACCCCAGGCTCCCTGGACGGACAGTGGCTGAGGCTGGAGTCAAGGCCACCCGAAGGCTCCTCCCTTCTCTTCGAGCATCTTGTCTCCTCTCTGCTTTCTCTCTTCCTCCCACTCCCTCTGGCCCCTTCCCTCTAGTGTGTTCTGTATGGAGCCACCTCCTTCCCTCTTGCCTAGATGTCCTGCTGTGGCTGCTACTGCAGCTGCTTCCTTCCTAACCCTGGTTGGAGGAAATGGACCCAGGCTCATGGAGATGTCCAATCCTCTGCTCCAGAGAAGACGTCCCGCCTTGCTTTGCGGTAGCCCAGAGGCTAAGGGTGCTTCTCCCACCTCCCCTCCCCACTGCCCCTTCTTCTGCCAGAGGCCTGCCTCCCCATGGCCTGGAAAAGTGGGTCATTGAGGTAGAAAGAAAACATCCCTTTGGGGGTTGTCTTACCTCTGTGCTTTCCCCCATCTGAGCTTTGGCCTTGCTTTGCTGCCTGCCTGCCTCCAGAGAACTGACCTCAGAGGCAGATTCTTCAAAGAAGAAAAGAAATGAGGGCGGCAGGGATCAAAAGTCACCTCCATTCTCTACCTCCCATGCAGCGAGTATACAACCTCTCCACAGGGGCTCCTGAATTTGAAGTATGGACCAAGGCACTGGGGCTGGTTAAGCCTCTAGAAGAAGGTGTGCTCAGAAGTGAAGGGCTAGTTCCTCCATGTCCGGGTCAGAGCCAGTGCATACAGGCCAGGAATAGCTTTTTGTTTTGTTTTGATTTTCAGTGTTGAGGGGATGTGGCCGTAGCAGGGCCTCCTGGGTTCCTCTTTCCTATCTTCTGGAATAAGAGCATATCCCTGGACTCTTGGCAGAAGTGAGAAGTGACATACGCATGTCACTGTTACACTGATCCCAGCCTTTAGCAGTCAAAGTTTCTCTGGGTCCCAAAGTTTGTCTAAGGGCAAAGACTTCGTGGGAAGAAGAAAAGGAGGCCGTGGGTAGGTAGACTTGAAGCTGTTCAGTTCCACCTTCAAGACAAATGCTCTTCTTGTCTTCTTGTCCCTGAATAGGTCTGAGGGCTTGCCAACTGTACTGTGGCTACTAAGGGAGCGAATAGGATGCCCTCTTCCACAATTCTCTGTTCAGAAGTTTCTTTAACCCTCAGAGGCCCAAGAATAGCTTGAATGAAGTCACTTCAAGAAAGACCAAGTTATCTGGAGACTAGTGGCTCAAGCCTATAATCCTAGTATCTCAGGAGGCTGCAATCTGAGGAACATAGTTCAAAGCCAGCTTAGTCAGGAAAATCCATGAGACTCTTATTGCCAGTTAACTACCAAATGCCCAGAAGTGGCTCTGTGGCTGAAGTGGTAAAGGGCTAGCCTTGAGCAAGAAAGCTCAGGGACAGTGCCCAGACCTGGAGTTCAAGCCACAGTACCAGCACAGAAAGTAAAATAATAACAAAAAGAAGAATCAAGTCAATCACAGCCTAGGTAAGAGGCTCGAAGCTATACGTCATGACTGGGGCTGAAGGCAAAGCAAAAGAACTGGGTACTGACCATTCACTTACCCAGGACCCAAACCCAGAACACACACACACGTGTGTGTGTGTGTGTGTGTGTGTGTGTGTGTGTGTGTGTGTGTGAAGAGAAGGGCCCCACTTCCTTATTTCACACAAAAAGGTATAGGGTAAAATCACCCAACATTTCCTCCAGATAGATGCCCAGCAGAAGAGACTGGCTCAGGAAAAAGGAATATGAGACAGGTTAGCATGATAGAAAGAAAAGAAGAGCAGGAATAGCAATGCATCGTTGGCTAGTAAGACATGTTGCGAGCTAACTTAGGATCAAATCGTGTCTGGCTGGAGCTGCTTCCCTGAAGGCCAGCTCCACAGTGTCCAAACATAAGAAGCATCACCTTGGGAGTGATCACCTAGAAGGCTAGTGGAGCCAATTCTCAGGCTGCCCTTAGTCAGGACCTGTGCAAGAACTTCTATTAGACACTGGCCTCAACCTGTGGGCCAGCGTTGTTGCTCTTCAAGAGGCTCAGGCAGAACACCACCACTGTTTTTCTCTCCTAGCCCCCTCAGGAAAGAGGATTTTATTTTTACTGTACCCTTTGGGTTTTAGAAGGAAAAACATAGGTTTAGGATCCTGTAAACTGATAGGCCTTCTCTATCAGGGCCACAGCTGGGAGCAGGGATGGCAATCGCAGGAGGGTTGAGATGTTAGGGTACAGCTACACTTGCCAGGTACCAGTCAGCCTCACTGTTAACCTCCTGTCCAGGAGGTTTCCTGGGCTGTGTCACTAGACCTCGACTGTTGAGCAGGCTCTCCTGGCCTGTCTTCTGTCACCACCTCTGTCCCTGTGTCTTTAGATTCAGTCCCTCCCCAGCACACCACCTGCTCCTGAGCCCCTACCATCTCCCTGTGACAGGGGAACTTTGTGTACTGTGTCTCGGGTCCATTATATGAATCGTGAGCAGGGTTCATCTATTTTAAACACAAATGTTTACAAAATAAAGAATATTTCAAACCACAGGTGTGTCTACCTATGTGAATCCTGGAGGAGTCTCACTGGGATCCTAGCTATGAAAATGGGAGGAGCATGGGTAGAAGAGGTCCTAGAATCCTCCAACAGCAGCAGTACAGTGACAGTGGAGGTGTACTTGGGTCTTCTGTTTCCAACATAAAGTTCTCACTGCCCCCAGAGCAGGCTTATATCACAGGAATAAAATTAACAGTAACCAAGTGCCAGTGGCTCATATCTGTAATTCTAGCTACTCAGGATATTTGAAGATCATGGTTCAAAGCCAGGCAGGAAAGTTCATTAGACTTCTATCGCCATTTAACCACCAGAAAGCCTGAAGTGTGGTTCAAGTGGTAGCATGCCAGCCTTGAATGAAGAAAAAGCTAAGGGAGAGCATGCAGATGAATTCAAACTCCAGTTTGAATACACACACATATACACACACAGAGTCACTGGAAGGGAAAAGGAAGCTGAATAAGCTGTGGGGTTTTCAAAGATAGTAGATTCTCACTTGTTCTGGATGAATCAGGAAAGCTTGTCCTAAGGGACTGAGTGATCTTTCAGATTTTTGATTGGATACCTGGGAAGCAGAGGTTGAATGCAATCTCTGGAGGACTCTAGATATTTAATACTGATATGGAGCTAATGGACAAAAATGTTTTGGGGGTAAGAATGGAAGGAAGGGAGGGAGTAAAGTAGGGCAGGTCACCAGCAATAGTCTTTAACATCTTAACCATACTTTATAGAGCATTTGTGATACCTTCTCTGATCTAACAATGATGGAAGGTGATGTTCTTTTTTGTTTTCTCAAGGTATTTTTATCCGTGTTTAACAGGTAAGGAGATAGGTGCTCAGGGAGCTTTAAAGACTGGCTGAAGGGCCACAACTATCTGGCATAAACTCATCTAGAAACCACTGTATTGAATCCAGAGAAAGGACAAAGCTTTGGCATCTCAGTTTAGAACAATCTTTATAAGCAATTCTCTTTGGGACTCAGAACTAAGAACTTAGGCTTTTCTTCACCATCTACTAAGGTAGTACTGCCTCCAGAACCACTGTGCCTCTTCTGAAAGCCAGGAGAAACACATTTGTTAGTGTATACCCAAAGTTAAAAGGTTCTGGGAAAGTGGAGCCATTATGAGTGAAGCTGGAGACAAAGGAATATTCCATGAGTGTCTCCTCAACTTTATTCAATTGTGAGAGAATCCAGAGAGACACCTGAGAGTTCTATGTTTTCCTGGTGAAATGGAAGAGCATGCACCCTACCCCTCTGCCCCACTCTGGATTCGTTTTGTCTGCCCAAAGAGGGCTTGCAAAATGGCAGTGAATAAGAGATGGCTCTGGAAACACAGCACCAGTCAGGCATATAAAAATCTGGCTAGTTAGTTAAGTTTCAGCTGCTGTCAGTGTGCCAAGTCCCGCTGACTCAGTGGTTTAGTAAAGACACTTACTGGCTGTATCCAGGGACTCCACCCAGAGCCAGCAGAGGACACACTTAAATGTACTTCCTGCCACCCCTTCATTCCTGTTAGACAATGGAAACTTGCTTTTATAGAGATGCTGGCTGAGATGTACAGTTCCCATGGACTAAGAGAGCCATTGAACAAGTTATGAGACAGAAAAGCTGGGCACTCCCTGGCGAGTAGTTCCTCCATCTCTCCACAAATCAGATTCTCAAGACCAGCTGCTCTCCATCCTTGCTTACTGTCTATTCTTGGAGGCTATTCCCAATGGATGTGTACCTGTGAAAACACTTTCCAGAAAGCATGTGCCTACTTAAAACATCTATTTTGTATTATCTTTAAGTAGTTATACAAAGGAGGTGCCATATAACAAAGCAGTTTATGAATATAATGCATCCTGATCAGTGTCATCCCCTTTAACATACTCACTTCCCTTTAACCCACTCCTTTCCTTATTTTTCTTTATTATTACTTTTTGGTATATACAATGAATATTTTTAACTGCATTCTTCCCCTCTTCCTCCCTTCAGTCATCTACTCCTCTCCCCTTGGCTCCATCTCTTCTTGGAAGTATCAATTTCCTGGTGTTTTGTTGAGCTTTGACCTAGTCTTTCTAAAAGATTATACTATTTGAGCTCTCCATAGTCTATTATACTTTTCAAATGAGGGAAACTATGCAACCTTTGTTTCTCTGGGTCTGGCCTACATCACTTAATATAATTTTTTCCAAGTCTTTCCATTTCCTTACTAATGGTACAATATCATTCTAATAGGTAAACAAAATTACATTGTGTAGATATACTACATTTTCTTAATCTATTCATCTATTGAGGGGCATCTGGGCTGACTCTGTATCTTGGTTATGGTGAATAGTGTTGCAGTGAGCATGGTTGTGCTGGTGGCTTTATTGTTACCTTGATTGTGTTCTATTGGATAAATGCCCAGGAATGGAATTGCTGGGACATAAAGTAGTTCTATTGTGTTTGCCTTCTTACTAAAATTTTACTCTAAAATCTAACGCTAGGGAAAACCTACTTTTTAGTTTTACTAAAGGAGAGATAAAAGTTTTTTTTTTTGGTAAGTTGTTGACAGGTGTTTAGAAGAGTGGAATGGCATCAGGGTCTTTTCTGTTTCTGTGGGCTCCCATGGCAGCCCTTAGATCATCTTGAGATGTCTTGGAATTCACTGAACTGCTGGAGTTAAAGACATCATGGTAGCTTCTCTAGTAGAACCACAGCAGCTTTGGTTTCCTTCACCCTTCCTTCTCTGAGTGGATGGCCAGAACAAGCCCACTCTGTGAAGTCTTGAGGCCTAAACCTTTGATGAAAAAGATATGAATGCAGTTCATCTACCCTGAATTTACCCACCTGTTCTGTGGCCTCCTTACAGTGACACCTCCAGCAATGACCTCAGCCTCATGACCAGGGAGATATAAGTGGAGGGTATATCAGGAGATGGTACAATGAAGAAGCAAAGAGGGAAGAAAGACCATCACTCAGTGAAAAACAACAATAAAAACCAAAAAAACCCACAAATTTTCCAAGACAAACACAACTTCATCTCTTTTGCCTGGTGGAAGATAAGGATGGAGAGCCTTCCTCCCTCCCTCCCTCCCTCCCTTCCTTCCTTTTCTCTTTCCCTCCCTACTTTCTCTCTTTCTTTTCCTCTTCCTCCTCATCCTTACCCCCCCTTTCCCCTCAGCCAAAAAGTCATTTCTAGAAAATGATACACTCTCTTCCTAAGGGGTCTTTTGATTTTGTGCTTGTGGGAAGCTATAGCTAAAGAGAAAAATGTAAAAAGTCATCTGACGCAGGTGGACACAAATCCCATATCTCTTCCTCTTCAACACACCCTTACCCGTCACTGCACAATTCAGAGATTGACACTGAATAAATGCATTCAGTTAATGTCTGTGGCAAGTGAAAACAACCTGCTAGGGCAAACAGAAGTCAATCTCGCATGCCTCCCTCCCTTTTTTCCTCCTCATCTGACCTTTGGGGCTCTGGTTTCCTTCAAGGAGTAAATTATTCACATCTGCTCACAGATATCAAATTGGCCCTTTCCAGGTTGCCAGCAGGGTGGGGCAGGAGGTGGCTTTGTTCAGTTGGTAAGGAGGAGGAGCAACCTCCTTGTTCAAACAACGTGTACAGGTGGGTGCATGTTTTTGCTAAGTCATCCAGGGAAGGCTCAAAGGCCTTTTGTGAGATCTTCTGTTATTCCTGGCTCCTCCTTCCTCCCCACCCCTTTGATAGACCCTTAAGTGGGCTCCAACAACTGGGCAGGGCTCACTCTGCGCTTCACCATGGCCTACATCGCCAAGTCCTTCTATGATCTTAGTGCTATCAGCCTGGATGGGGAGAAAGTAGATTTCAACACGTTCCGAGGCAGGGCAGTGCTGATCGAGAATGTGGCATCGCTCTGAGGCACAACCACCCGGGACTTCACCCAGCTCAATGAGCTGCAGTGCCGCTTTCCCAGGCGCCTGGTGGTTCTCGGTTTCCCTTGCAACCAATTCGGACATCAGGTGAGGGGTCTTTTGGGTGTGGCTCTTGCAGGACAAGGAAAGAGGATGAATGATTGTGTTGGAGTGTCTGGAATTGAGGGGCATACTTCCTCATGCAGAGTGTTTGGGTGCAAGTGCAATACCATAGGGAAGTGTAAGGTTAAACATGGAGGATGTGTGTTTTCATTGTTCTATGGTCTTCTCCACTGTAATATATGAGGGCTTCTACCCATTGTGTCTTTTTTCTCCACTGAGTCTTCAGAGCCTAGGATACCAAATGCATGCATTAAATATGTGTCAAATGAACAAGTGAAAGAAACAGGTTTAAAGTCAAACTGTGATTGGACTGACTCAGGAGACCTTTATTCCTGCTCTATTTGGTGCTGCTTTGGTACTCTGGGCCCTTCAAAGAGGCCCTGAATGTTTCTGCTTTAGTTTCTGCATCGGTAAGCTAGAGATAATGCCACTTAGCTCACAGGATCGTTGTGAGGTTCATAAGGTAAGATATGGAAAAGTAACTAGAAAAATAGAAAATACTACATAAATATAAGCAATTTATTATTTAGATCAGAGACATGTTTATTTAAATTGTCAAGTGGAGAGGGAATGGGAAAAAGGCAAAGGCCTCTTGGAATCACATGCACATGTCCATATGAGTCAAGTTATTACAGATCTTCAGCCCTACACCCTGTTATCTTTTAGTGATTCTTCTACTTATGATCCGAGTTGTAGAAACAGGCAGGATATCACCAAGTGAACCCTTTACTAATCTCCTTAGTTCAACTCACAGTGGAATAAAGGTAAGGAAAAATTAGCTAACATATAAGCAGGAAGGATGTAGGATCACTGGCTGTGACGAACTGAAGCCCAAACCGTTATTCCTCTGCTCACCATTCCCCTTCTCTTAGTTCTCCTTCTAGCCTTTGCCAGAGCACAGGGGCATAAAGGAAGGGCATAGCCTCTTAAGAGATGTCCTGCCAGTCCTAGCCTCACTATCTAGCCTCACTATCACTCTGGGCTGCCTAGGTGCTGGAGGGCATCCATAATCTACCAGGAGCCAGCCGGCCATTTGCATCAAGAGATAAGTGTAATAGAGATCAGATAGGGCTTGTGAATGTCACCATGGCCTAGAACTGACTGTACTAATGACTCTTCTAGTTGGTCCAAGGCAGGATCTTTCTCTCCAAGGGAGATCTGACTTTTAGCCTGGGGGAGAAAATAGAGTCTCACTGGCATTTGGGGGTTGTCAAGTGTAGAGATTGTGATTGGGCAGAGGTTTAGGGATGGTAGTGAAGAGGGGAAGACCGGTAACAGATTCTGAGCTAAAGCATTTGGGGCTGATTACAGCGACTAACAATGAGGTTGGCTGTCTTTGGATAGCAGCAAAATGAAAGCAATAATTTGTTATATTCACAACCTTTAGTCTTCAAGCACTTATTTCTTCAACCCCTATTCTAGATCAGAAGAACTCTATTTTTCACCTTATTTATCTCTATTGGTCATTAAGTAGTGCCATTTAGAGTACAGTAATTGTTGTTGCCTACCTATTTTGCCTTTCCCTTCTATGGGTTCCTCCTTTATTGGTGGCCTCCTATTTGCATTTTAGGTTTAGGATAAGGTAGGATGAAAGCCAGAAACTCTAATCCCATTCTCCTGGGCTTCACTTTCACCTTCTGAGAAGACAGAGAAAGAAGGGAGAGGGAGAAGGACAGAGAGGAAGGAAGGGAAGAGAGAAAAAGGAGGGGAGGCGAAAGAGGGAGAGTGTATGCATTTGTACTGATACATAGATGATCGTAGGTAAGATGGGTTAGAATGGCTGGTGCCTCCTTTCTTTTGCTTCTTCTGCCCCCAAATCAAGGTTCCCTAGAGTTTCAAATAAATACTTTATGAACCTTTCAGGGTCAATTATGTTCAGAAGCAACAGTTCATATGTTCAGTCTGAAGTATAAGAGCAGCAAAACTAGCAACTACAAGAACTTTCAGAAATGGCCTAGCACACTATCAAACAATATCATGGAGAGGAAAAAAAAACCCACAACGAATACTCAGATAAAATGGAGGAGAAACACACACATTACATAGATAGAAAAGAATGATCCTGGCAAGGGAGTTTTGGAGAAAAGATTTCCATTAATGGACCCCTGGCTTCCTTTTGCCTTTCCCATGTTCCTTGTCTTTTTTTCTCCCCTAGGAGAACTGTCAGAATGAGGAGATCCTGAACAGTCTCAAGTATGTCCGCCCTGGGGGTGGATACCAGCCCACCTTCACTCTTGTCCAAAAGTGTGAGGTCAATGGGCAGAATGAGCATCCGGTCTTCGCCTACCTGAAGGACAAGCTCCCTTATCCTTATGATGACCCATTTTCTCTCATGACCGATCCTAAGCTCATCATGTGGAGTCCGGTGCGCCGCTCAGATGTGTCCTGGAACTTTGAGAAGTTCCTTATAGGGCCGGAGGGGGAGCCCTTCCGCCGCTACAGCCGTACCTTCCAAACCATCAACATCGAGCCTGACATCAAGCGCCTCCTCAAAGTTGCCATATAGATGTGAGCTGCTCAGCATGCTGATCTCCCAGTCCTCCCAGACCCTAAGCATCCTTCCTTAGGATTCAGCGTGCCCTCCGTGGGCAGTGCTGGATCTAAGCTCTCTCTGTACCTCACTCCCCTTCATTGGAGAGCTTTGCTTTTCCATCCACCTGTTTTCTTTTTCTCTCTCAACCCTCCTGGTGTTTTAACTTGGGGCTCTAAGACTCAGGTAGGCTTTGGGCCTTCACAGAATGATGGCATCTTCCTAAATCCTATTGGAAGATGTCTGAAAAGCGTGAAGGGCCTGGAACTAGCCTGCTAGCTGATGAGTCTAATAAAGGGCAGGTGTGGAAATGGCCAGGCTCTTTTGTCTTCTTGTCCAATGGGTGGTACACATTGCGGTGAGATAGAGGTGGTAGTGGCATACTAGCTCCGTTTTGGTCGAGAGAAGATGATCAAGGGAATACTCTAATGGCTATCTGGAAAGGAGACTCTTGGTAGAAAATGTGAATTTTATTATTTTATGGCTCCTTCCCAGAACTGGGGAAAAACAGGAATAAAGAGAACTAAAAGCCTCTTTGGCTGGGCACACTGGGAAGAGAGGGGTTTGTTGTATGATTACAATCAGGAAAATATATCACTGTGGGTATTTGTCCAGCTAGGAATTATGTATACTTTGAGAAATTCCTGAAATTCCAGTTAGTCAACTACTGACAGCAAAGACACACAGGGTGCAGTTACTGGAAACACAGGACTTTATTCTTTTCCCAGTTACCTGATTGGATTGTATGGTTTTGATCTTTTGCTAGACTGAGCCTCCTTTTAAAGGTCACATTCTTCCCCTTCTTCTCAAGCCTTTTATTTTTTATTTTTTAATCCAGGCATGGGGCCTGAACTCTGGGCCTGGGCGCTGTCCCTCAGCTCTTCAGCTCAAGGCTAGTGCTCTACCACTTGAGCCACGGCACCACTTCCAGCCTTTTCTGTTTATGTGGTGCTGAGGAATCAAACCCAGGGTCTCATGTATGCAAGGCAAGCATTCTGCCACTGAACCACTTTCCTAGCCCCTCTTCTCAAGCTCTTAATCTGACAAATTTAAGCTCAAGGCAGAGGCATGAATGGCTGGGTTCATTTCTTCCTTCAGAATTTATAATCTGTAAGAACTGCTGTATGGAGTGGCTTTGTAAGGACAGTGCCCCTCCTCCAGTCGGGCATTCCCAAGTTACCTCACCACCAAGGCTGTGTTCTATCATATTCTCATGTGCTAGAGGAACTGCCCTATCCCTTTGCCTTATGAACCTCATCCTGGAAACTTCTCGCTACACTTTTCCCTTTGGCCACTAGGTGGAACATTTTACTTCTCATTGAAGGCCTAAAGGGGCAATTTTGCAAACTACTGCTCAAAAAATCCCATGTTGACCCAGAAATGATTTCCTTTTAATCGGCTCTTCATCAGTTCCAAGTCTTTATATCATCTGTGAAGCCATTATAAAACAGAGACTAAAGTTCCTCATTGTCTGACCTTCAACTAAAAGTTTGTTATTGGTGGTGCTTTCTTCAAAAGGGTAATCTGAGCATTATAATGGGAATCCCTTGGCATCTTTCTGTAACACCTTCTCTAAATTAAGGGTGCCCTCCACTTGACACAAGCCTTTCAGATTCTTTCTCTTAAAGCTACTGGGGGTGTGAATGTTTTTGAGGCAGAACAACGTACACACTGATTTCAGAGCAGTTAACTACAGAGACAAATTGCTTCCCTGATAAAATTGAGAGGTTCATGTTGGATGCTTCTATGATTTGTTTATTATTTTGATGGTACTATACCCTGTTGTTACATCCAGCAACAGCCAGCAATCCTGGATGTTAGCATTACGACACTAGCAATTGAAGGCTTGATATACCAGTGCAGTGTCTTAGGTCTTTCCTACGAGGCTCAAGTTGAATAATTTATGGATTCCCAAAGGAATGAGCATTTCAGTATAAGTGATTTTGCAATGAATCAGAAGGAACTACAATGCCAAAAGAGGGCTCCTCAGGGAAATGCTGCTTGATTCAGACAAGACCTGACCAGTCTGGCTCAGAAGGAACAGGTGGGAAAGATGGCAGGAATCTGTTTTACAAGGACCTTGACCTTTAAACCTTTTACTGTGGTGTTATTAAAATGAAGAGAAAATACTCTTTTCCTTTACTTTTCATCTGTCCCCCTTTTCACTCTCTGCAGCAGCAAATTATGGTCATCAACACGCAAGGCAAAGCTTTTTCATGGATAAACAAATTCTTTTAATCAAATTTCCCTGGGGGCACTGAGAAGTAGAGAGAAGTCTCATTAACACACACTTTCAGAAGTGCTGAGATAATGCTGTTCAATTTAGAGGGATGACATAATCACTTCTTTGAGAGTTCTCACAAAAAATACAATTTGGAAGAAGTATCTTTAGGAGGACCGATATATACAGACTGAAATTGATTGTGTGACTATGTCCCTATTGCAATAGCTTTCTTAAAGAAAAACTGAGCCAAACTCTAAAACTTCCTCAAAATCACCATCACAGCCACCAACAAACCACCAGTTACCAAATATTTTCTATATTCATTAATAGCACTAAGTACTTTCCATACATAAGGTTATTTATTCCTCATTTGGACTTCTTTTTTTTTATCACTAAAGAGAAGTTAGTTGGGCAAGACACCTGCCAGGGACAAAAAGGGTAGAAATGAAAGTTAAGCCATGTCATTCTAAGCCCAAAGCATCTACATCACCACAGTGCTGCTCACATTTTCTTTCATAAACCCACTGATTAGTCCAGATTATTATGATTACTATTATTTGCCCACTCTGGGGCTTAAACTCAGGGCCTCATACTCACTCAGTTTACATATTCACAGCTAGCATTCTACCACCAAACCATGGCTCCAGTCTAGCATTTTTACTATGGAGATAGTGTCTCAGGGACTTTCCTACCTGGGCTGGCATCAAACCAGGATCACATCTCAGCTTCCTGAATAGTTAGGATTACAGGCATGCATTACCAGTGCCCAGTTGTGTCCAAGTTATTTGAGTTACTTACATTAACAGAGCAAGAAAACAACTCTTAAGTAGGTCTAATACATGAGTACATATGTGCAGCCAGGTTTATATGAACATCTCTGTGTTTATATGTATATGTTTTGCATATATGTATGTGCATTTATGTAGACGGGGAAATCCCACATAAACATTTCTGTTTAGATATATATGTATGTATGTATGCATGTATGTATGTACATATATATATATATATATATATAGGCAATTGGTGCTAATCATTCAACTCTGGTCACATTGGCAGAAGAGAGTCATAGACGAAGTGTAGCAAAAAAGTGCAAGATGGATGGAGTAAAGATGTTTCCTCATCCTTTAGCTTTCCTTGCTGATCTATAAATTCTGAATAGCAGGCATTACAAAAATAACAAGAAGTTACTAGTAATAAACAAAAGGAACAAAAAAGGCCACCAAGAAAGGCCTGCACACACCACTGTGTTGCTCAAAATGCTTTCATTGACAATTATAGCAGTTGATTAAAAAAAAAAAACTATGGAGTGTTTATTACAGCACTTCACAAAAGCCAGGTTATGAAATCAGCCTAGATGCTCAGCAATGGATGCATGAAGAAAATGTGGCATATAAATTCATTTTATTTAGTCATAAGAACAAAATTATTATCATTTGTAGAAAAGTGAGAAGTGGGGCTGGGAAGGTGGCTCAGTGGTAGCACTTGTCTTGCATGTATGAGGCCCTGGGTTTGATTCCTAAGCATCACATCAGCAGAAAAAGCCAGAAGTGGCACTGTGGTTCAAGTAGTAAAGCGCTAGCCTTGAGCTGAAAAGCTGAGGGAGAGTGCCCAGGCCCAGAGTTCAGGCTCATGATTGGAAAAAAAAAAAAGTGAGAAATGGAGATCACCATGTTAAGTGAAATAAGCCAGACTCATGTTTTCTTTCTAGTGCAGACTCTAGATTAGAAAAAAAATTAAAAAGCCAGGTGCTGGAGCTCACAACTATAAACCTAGCTACTGAGGAAGTTGAGATCTAAGGATCAAAGTAGGAAATAAGTCAAAGCAGATAAATCCAAGACTCTTATCTCCAATTAACCAGCACAAAGCCAGAAATGAAGGCATGGTTCAAGTGGTAGTCAATCATAAGCAGCCAACTGAGTGCATGAGGCCCAGAGTTTAAACCCCAGTAGGCACAAACAAACAAAAAACATGAAAATAAAGTGGAGATTATTTGGGAAGAAGTTGGTTAGTAGGAGAAGGGACAAGAAAGAGTAATGTATATGGATATGTGGGTGAACATGACCAAATTACATTATACATAGGTATGCAAATGTCATAATGAAAGCATTAAAAATGTGCAACCTTCCAAAAAACCCAATAATGACATTTTATATGATGCTTTCTATTTTCCATTATTTTCTAGAAGAAACTGAGATAGACAGGATAACTATGGCAAAGCCAATTCTATATATACCATGTGCTCAGTGATTTCTTTTTTTACTTAGGTACAAAGTTGTATCTCACAATACAGACTTGTACTACAGTCAACAAACAGACATTTTAGTATTAAGCACTTCAAATTCAGTCAAGTAATTAGACTTGTCCACAAAACAATAGATTCAAACCAGCAGGATTTTTGATACACTGAAATATAGAACAGTGAACATATATTACTTAGTAACAATCTATATGAAACAAAAAATATTTTGTTGTGCCTAAGCTGGGTTATATGTCAATTAGTATTGAGGGATTCCAAGAACAATAAAATAACACAACAAATGCAGGTTGAACTTTTCATTTCACGCTGTCGACTATGTAGACACTAGATTGGCACAACTTAAAGTGAGCAGAGAAAGAGTGAGGAATCAGGACCAGACCATGTTTTCAATGACACCCACAAATGATTTCTTTTCCGTCTAGAAGCTCAAGAGAGGAAATAAAGACTACAACTTTTGCCTAGTTCCCCTTTATTTAAACAGGAATAAGGATTCAGTGAGACTAGGTTTTTTGTTCTATTAGACCCCTCCCTCCCCCACAGCATTCTAGGAGACAAAGTAATACAACAAAGAACAATGGTGTGAACAATGAAATATATAGATAAGATCTTCTGTTTTAATTTTTTTAGCCATATCCAATACAAATAGATAATTATAGGAATTAACAGGGACATATAAGACCATATTCATGAGCTTCAAATGACTAAGCTGGAAGCATTAGCAAACTCCAAGAATGGACAATGCAAAGGCTATAATAGGCTTAGTGCTGCTATTTAAAGTAATGAATTTTCTCTGCTTTTTGAATTCATTTCACCAAACTATCTCCTCAGCAGGTCAGATATAGATTTGCAGCCAAAAGGAAAATATTTTCCAGGAATAAAACTGATCCTGACACAGCAGCTGACTTAACTTTTCTGAGTTAAACTTTTCTAAGGAATAAATCTTTTATCTGATATGATGAGATTCCTTGGAGTGCTGTCACTGATATTCTCAGCCTCTTCCTAACCTTGCCAAGCTCTTAGCGGGTCATCAAAATTAGAATTCAAATGTTCCTCAACTGGGAATCATGTGATGTTTTTCTCATGATTAGAATGAGATTATGGCTCTTTGGGAGGAAGACCACAGAGATGAAGTGCTACTCTCATCAAGGGTACATGCTGTTAACATGATTTATTGTTGATAAAAGTTAAATAACCTTGATCACGTGGCTGTTTATCAAATTTTTCTACTATATAGTTACTCATTCTCCCTGCTTTCCATATTCTACTCTTTGGGACGGAAGGAAGCCATTATGTGCACACTTAAGGAGTAGAAATATCTATAGAATATTTACCCAGGACTGGAAATGTGGCTTAGAAGTTCAATGCTTGCCTAGCATGTATGAAGCCCTGGGTTTGATTCCTCAATACCACATGAACAGGTAAAGCCAGAAGTGGCACTATGGCTCAAGTGGTAGAGTGCTAGCCTTGAGCAAAAGCAGCTCAGGGACATTGCCCAGGCCCTGAGTCCAAGCCCCTGGACTGGCAAAAGAAAAAAAAAGAAGAAATTATTTACCCATGGGAGATTTGTTTGTATCCATCCATCTTTCATTCATTCATTCAATCACTTATTAACATCAGAATGGATTAATTTATTATATAGTTTGGGTCGTGTTCCAATACCACTTCATTTATTTCTTTGTTCAAGTTGTTCAGGTGTGGTAATTGGGAACTTCTTAGTTGCTCCTTTGTCTATCTGACATACTCCTGGTCATTGTGTTATTTTTTTATGACTTCATTGTTGTTGGTTTTTTGTGGCATAGATGCTCCAGACTCATCTTGCATATTTCCTCCCCAATTCTACCAGTCATTTTCCCAAGGAGTTCTGGTTCCTTCTATGGCAAAAGCAAGATTCAGGCTCTAGGTGTACACTTAATTTAGTTACTTTCTGGTCAGATAATTGTTACGTAGAAATTTCAGCAAAAGCTTGGCTCTAGGGAAATACAAATCTCCTTTACTTTTTTGTTCAAAGAATTGCTGTTTAAGCAGCAAAAACAAAAAATAAATTAATTAAAATATGCAAAGAAGTTTCATTATTAGATAAAACATCAGGATTGCTGTATTTTAAACTAACCAACATGGTTACAACAGAACTAGGAATCTTAGAATAACAAAGTCATTTGTCGAGGGTCATCAGGGAGAATACTTATAGTATCTTCAGCTTTGCCACATAACAGACACAGCATGGTGTATTCCTAGAAGACAAAGTACATAATTACCTCAATATATAAAGAAAAGCATGCTCAATAACTGACTTTGTTGGCTACAAAGCGCCATAGATATTCTCTCTGTACATTAGATCAATTTCTTCAACATTTATCAGCAATATCTTAGGTTTGTGCTGCATATCCCCAGAGGGCCCCCCCCCACTTTTTTAAAAATATAAACAGAGTACATGATGCTGCTTTATTTACTACAAATATAACAATGCCATCTTGGAAGTGCATAGCTATTTCTTGGACTTGAGTGTAGGTACCTAAGGATAAATTTCCATTCTTAGAGCTGTACTTTCTTTTTAAGATATTAAACTCTTTAGAAGGGAAGGAAGAAAAATATGAAATAAGAAAGAAAAAAATTTCTAAACTTAAAAAGCTGTTTTTAGTTAATATAGAAAAATATGTTAAATTCACTAGTACATCATGCCTCATACTTAAACAGCTAATTTGCCTGAAAATTCATCTATTTGAAGAGGTTGTGTCTTGGGCTTAACAAATATCCAGACTAGAGACAGAAGGGATTTCATTTTAGGCAAAAATCCTTAGGGCAAAGTCTTGTTCTTTTTTTTTTTTTGACGGTCATGTGGGCCTGGGCACTATCCCTCAGCTCTTTAGCTCAAGGCAAGCACTTTACCACTTGAGCCACAGCACCACTTCCAGTTTTCTGAGTGGTTTATTGGAGATAAGATTTCACGAACTTTCCTGCCCCAGCTGGCTTTGAACCACAATCCTCAGATCTCAGCCTCCTGAGTAGCTAGGATTACAGGCGAGAGCCATCAGCGCCAGACTCAAGTCTTGTTCTTATAGCTGTAACTTTCTAGAATATTTAACACATACACTGTATAGGCATATTTATTTTAAACTTAAAAATGTTCAGTCTTCTTTAGGAAAACAAATATATGTTACATCTATTAGTATTTCTACATCTGATATTGAAATTGCTAGTTGTCTGGAAACTAATCAGTCAAGGTGGAGTCTCTTGGGTCTGGGCAAACACTAGAGAGGACTACAGACATAGAGACAATGGTGAGATTCTCAGCAGCAGACAACTTTGTTCCCTTTCCTATGGGTGAGTTCAAGAAGGGCAACACAGTCGTGGCAGTAGAAAGGCTGCTTCTTTTATTCTTAGTTTTATTTTTTTGCCAGTCCTGGGGCTCGAACGCTGAACTTTTGGTCAAGGCTAGCACTTTACCCCTTGAGTTACAGCTCCCCTTCAGGCTTTTTGGAGATAAGTCTCATAGACTTTCCTGCCCCTTGCTGGCATCAAATCATGATCCTCAGACCTCAGCTTCCTGAGTAGCTAGGAATACAGGTGTGAGCTACCAGCACTTGGCTGAAAGACTGCTTTTTAAAAACTACATTTTAATTAATTTAATTGATTGTGTTGGGAATCAAACCTAGGGCCTTGTGCATGCTACATAGGAAACCTACCACTGAGCTACATACCCAGGCCCCACACTTTTAATTTTTTTTTGGGTCCAGTCGTGGGGCCTGAACTCTGGGCCTGGGCGCTGTCCCTCAGCTCTTCAGCTCAAGGCTAGCGCTCTACCACTTGAGCCACACCGCCACTTCCGGCTTTTTTTCTTTTTGCTTGTGGTGCTGAGGAATCGAACCCATGGCCTTGAGCATGCAAGGCAAGCGCTCTACCACTGAGCCACCTTCCCAGCCCCACACTTTTAATTTTTAAGTCTACCATACACGTTCATTATGCATATTGGAGTCTAAAACATACAGAACAAATATTCATGCATTAAAAATAACCATTCAGCCTCTCCAATGTCTTTTTACTGCTCTCAAAGACCTCTATTGCTTTAACCCAGCAGATATTACTAATGAGATAACAACCTCTCACTGTTAATGAAGAAATAAGTACCAGACAAAAAGGGAAAATGTTAAGAGAGCTGAGGGTCAGTAGATCACTCCTATAATTCTAGCTACTCAGGAGGTAAGATCTGAGGATCACAGTTTGGAGCCAGCCCAGGCAGGAAACTCTGTGAGATTCTAATCTCCAATTAACCACCAAAAAACAAACAAACAAACAAAAAACCCAAAACAGAAAAACAACAACAAAAAACACCTGGACTTGAAGCTGTAGCTTAATTGGTAGAGTACTTTGAGTGCCCAGGCCCCAAGTTCAAGTTCCATGACAGGTGCGCGCGCACACGCACGCACGCACGCACACACACACACACGGGAAAATGTATGAAGTTAGCAAATAGTTCTGTTTTCAACCAATCTATCCTCTGTCAAATTTATATTTGGTGCTCTTGTGCTCTATGAGGCACAAGGTATACTGGCAACCATTTAGGACAAAATCTGACCTTACATTAATTCACAATCTAACTTGGAGGAAAAAAAAAAACTAACAAATGAACCTAACATATGATATCATCTGGCAAGATTATTGAATTGTTGAGACTGACTATATCCACAAATCTTTTAAATGTATATTTTACAAGTGCTATATAATCTAACTATATATAGTAGTACTTCTATGGGAAAGTATGTTTAGAATTCTAACTTGGAATGTCAGGAACACAGCGCCTCATGCAACATGGTGGCATTAGGACATGTTTCCCTCAAAATGACCAAAGATGGAGAGATCTGGCAGGAAGTATGGAGTAGGTAGAATCACCTCAGCATTAAGAACAGATCCTTTGTTTATTCCAGTGGTCTCTTGGTCCTTTCCCTGTTACTCCCTATTCACTATGACTCGACATCCTTGACCCACGGGAGGGAGAAGACATTCTCACAGTTCCTCTCTTATTTCCTGAGGTAAACATGTGAGTTTTTTTTGGTTATTGTTGTTTGAGTATTTTTGCCAAATGTTTTGGGAGAAACAAAAAATACCTATACCATTTCTAATACATTTTCTTTCTTTTTTTGGTAGGTCGTGGGGCTTGAACTCAGTGCCTGAGCACTGTCCCTGAGCTTTTTCATATAAGGCTAATGCTCTACCACATTGAGCCACAGCACCAATCCTACTTTTCTGGTGGCTAATTGGAGATAAGAGTCTCAAGAACTTTCCTGCCTGGCTGGCTTCGAACCACAATCCTCAGATCTCAGCCTCTTGAGTAACTCAGATTATAAGTGTGAGCCATTTGTACCTACTTTCTATTATATTTTCTATCTAAACTTTATACTTCTGCCTCTACCTTCCTCTCTAATCTTGCCATTAGGAAATTTTACTTTGTTCAATAATGGTATTATGGTTGTCTTTAAAAATATAATTCTTAGCTGGGCGCTGGTGGCTCACGCCTATATTCCTAGCTACTCAGGAGGCTGAGATCTGAGGATCGCAGTTCAAAGCCAGCCTGGGCAGGAAAATCTGTGAAACTCTTATTTCCAATAAACCACCAGAAAAACCGGAAGTGGTGCTGTAGCTCAAGTGTTAGAGTGTTAACCTTGAGCTGAAGACCTGAGAGACAGCACTCAGGCCCAGAGTTCAAGCCCCATAACCATCAAAAAATAATAATAATAGTAATCATTTTTATCTTTTAGAGATGAAATATTTAGAGATATGTTTGTGATTTACTTAAAAATAATCCTGATTTGTGTGAGAATGATGTAGCATAAGTAAAACAACATGATGCTGACTAGTGCAGATTAATAGACTATTTTGCCCACTTTCAGTTTGTTTACATTTCCCCTAAAACATTTTGAATAAAAATAAACAATGGTGTTATGGAAGCCCACCTTAAACTTGCACTGCTACTGGAATAAGATAACAACCAAAGAACAGTGGGAATTAGGATAATAAGTAGCAGTGGATACAAATGAAAAGTTTCTGATCATTAGACTAAGGCAGACATGCCCAATTGGCTAGTCACTTGATTTAGGGCCTGACACAGGTACAAGAAAAATTCAGAAGAGGGAGAAAGTAGTACAAGCTGGACTATCAAGAGCAAGAAGGAAAATTTAGGTTTCTGTAGAGAGCTAAGATTTCATTGGCTTCAAGGTAAAATTCAAATCAAGCAGAAAGCTCAAGGTAGGATTCAAATCAAGAAGAAAGCACAAATTAGGACACTGCTGTGGAAAAGGTTAGATGATCACATTTAGAGCAGGAGAGAAGCAGATGCTCCTGAAGGCTGGTTAGGAGGGGCTAGAGAATAGTGTCTTTAAGGAAGATTAAGCCCATAGTAATGTTCCAAAGTACAATCTGGGGCTGCTGTACTGTGATTTAGGTATGAGTGAATATGGTCCTTGATGTGGTAAATAATGTTGTGTTAGCTGGAGCTAGAAAAAAACAAGAGAACAAAGGAAGGCAGATAGGGCAACAGTTAAAGAAGATCTATAGGGGAAAAACAAAGAAGGAGGCAACAATGCTGAATAAGAAATGTACTCATGGAGCTGGGAAGGTGGCTCAGTATTAGAGCACTTGCCTTGCATGCCTGAGGCCCTGGGTTCGATTCCTCAGCACCACATAAGCAAAAAGAAAAAGCCGGAAGTGGTGCTGTGGCTCAAGTGGTAGAGAGCTAGCCTTGAGCTGAAGAGCTGAGGGACAGCGCAAGGGCCCACAGTTCAGGCCCCATGACCAGACCCCCCCCCCAAAAAAAAAGAAATGTACTCATTAAGCCTGGCACCGGTGGCTCATGCCTGTAATCCTAGCTACTCAGGAGGCTGAGAGCTGAGGATCATGGTTCAAAGCCAGCCCAGGTAGGAAAGTCTGTGAAACTCTTATCTCCAAAAAAACCACCCGATAACCAGAAGTGGTGCTGTAGCTCAAGTGGTAGAGTGCTCGCCTTGAGCTGAAGGGCTGAGGGACAGTGCTCAGGCCCAGGATCAAGCTCCACAACCGACAAAAAAAAAAAAAAAAAGACATGTACTCATTACCTTACTCATGTAACTGTAACCCCTCTGTACAGTATTTTCACAATAAAAAACTTAATTAAAAAAAAGGTCTAGACAACACCTACTAAAGACTGAATATGTATGCTTACTATATGAGGGAATACAGAAGAGATTCCAAATCAGAGATTTCTTCCAGTTTCAGGGAATCATAGCACAACAGAAAAGGAAATAAAAGAAAGCAAAGACAATTCAAATAATTTAAAAGCAAAGTCTGGACTGTAAGGGAAGCAATAGTTAATAAAATCAGATCTAGAAGAGATTAAGATGAAAAACAAAACACCTAGCATTTGGTTACATTTGGTTAGAGTAGCCTTAGTCAAATGAAAATGAAAAACAGTTTGCAGGTAGTTGAAATAAGGAAAATAGGTAAAAGACCTATCAAAGCTGAGTGTGGCAGCATATATGCCTGTCTTCCAGGCAATGTGGAGGCTGAGGCAGGAGGCCAACCTGTAGTACACTGCAAAATCTTGTCTCAAGCAAAGAGAGGAAAGAGATGAGCCCCCACTTTTTTTATTTAGTTGTTTTTTTTCAGATAGTGTCTCATTTTGTACCCAGAGCCAGCCCTACACCATAATCTACATTACAGATATAAACAAACACACCTGGTTAGTTTGTTCAGATGTGATCTCACTTTTGCCCAGGCTGGCAAAAAGGTCCTCTTAAACTTTGTTCCCCCTCACTCCCCAAGTAGATGGGATTATAGACATGTACCATGATTCTTGGCTCTGGGCTATTCTTTACAAATAAAAATGTCATTTTTAATGCTGACATTTTTACTTCTGTCTCTTGTGACAACAGGTTTGCAGAGATACACCCAATTTTCTTTCAATCTGTATGGTGAGAAAATAAGGACCATTTCCTTTACTAATAGTTGCTAGGACTTCATTTATAAAAACGTTTATGTAGATTTTCAAGGGTACTTTTATTATCCATAGCAGACCCATACATTTACCTGAAATTCATCCATGATACTGAATGTGTACTCATGCCTGGCAATGACATGATGACAATTTTTACACAGATCTGCAAAACAAAGAGAAACTATGTAATTAAGTCTTGGAATGTTTCTTAAAACAGTAACATTTCTAGGGGCTGGGAAGGTGGTTCAGTGGTAGAATGCTTGCCTTGCATGCATGAGGCCCTGGGTTCAATTCCTCAGCACCACATAAACAGAAAAAGCCGGAAGTCGTGCTGTGGCTCAAGTGGTAGAGCTCTAGCCTTGAAGAGCTGAGGGACAGTACTCAAGCCCCATGACCAACCAAAAAAAAAAAAATACAAAAGAAAGTAGCACTTCTGTTCTAAGCAGAATAATGCTTAAGAAGAATCCTGTATGATAGTTAACATAGCAGAAATCCATTATAATGTTGACCACAATCTGGCTGGGAATGTGGCTAAGTCGTGATTCCTCAGTACCACATATACGGAAAAAGCTGGAAGTGGTGCTGTGGCTCAAGTGGTAGAGTGCTAACCTTGAGCAAAAGAAGCTAAGGGGCAGTACCCAGACCCTGAGTTCAAGCCCCAGGACTGACCAAAAAAAAAAAAAGAAAAGAAAAAAGAAAAAGGAAATCCACACAGCAATTGCTACATAATTAGGGTCTGAACTCAAAAGGTTTAGTGTGCATGCATTAGTTCCTACTGAAAGCTCCCTAAAGTAATCAACTGACAGAAACTTAAATATGTTTTTTTAAGTAACCTGGCCCTAACTACTTAAAAGCTTTTATTCTCAGAATAAGAGTAAACTGTTCTTATTGCTATTGCAATCCTTAAAAACCAAGCAAACAATGCTGAATATTAGGGTAATTTTCTTTTTTTTTGAGTGCTAGTAGTCAAACCCAAAGCCTCATGCTTGCTAAGTAAATGGTTTACCACTGAGCTACATTCCGAGCCTTTCAAAGTGAATTTAATAGTAACAAAAATGTAGTGAAAACAACAACATTGAAGAAAAACAAACACCCTGAGTTACTGAACAGGGCCTGGGGCTAGGCACTGTCCTTGAACTTCTTTTGCTTAAGGCTGGCACTCTATCACTTGAGCCACAGGGCTACGTCCAGCTTTTTCTGTGTATGTGGCACTGAGGAATTGAACCCAGGGCTTCATACATGCTAGGCAAGCACTCTACCACTAAAGCCACATTCCCAGCTTGCTATTTAGTCTCTTAAATCTTGTTAAAAACCCAGTGAGAGGGCTGGGAAGGTGGCTCAGTGGTAGAGCGCTTGCCTCACATGCATGAGGCCCTGGGTTCGATTCCTCAGCACCACATAAGCAGAAACAAAAAAAAAAAAAACCGGAAGTGGCGCTGTGGCTCAAGTGGTAGAATGCTAGCCTTGAGGTGAAGAGCTGAGGGACAGTGCCCCAGGCCCAGAGTTCAGGCCCACGACGGGACCTCCCCCCAAAAAACAAAAACAAACCCAGTGAGATAAATATTATCATTATCATACTTTCAGAAATAAGGACACAAAGACATACCGGTAAGTTAGTAGGACAACTAGTGAATGAGAAGGTGTTGGAACTAGAATTCAACTCCAAGCAGTCTGCATCAAAAGCCCTGCTCTCAACTATTATGCCCTCCTGCCTGGGTGAAGTGTATACAAACACTTTACAAGAAAGAAAATGATTCTAGTCAGGTATCCAGTGGCTCATGCGTATAATCCTAGCTACTACAGAGGCAGAGTAGGGTGATTTCAGTTTAGGATTAGCTTGAGAAGAAAATGTTTGTGACATTCTATGTAAAATACAAACAGCAAAAACAAGGCAGTAGGGACGTATGGTTTAAGTGGGAAAGCACCAGCCTAACAAGCATGAGGCTCTGAATTCAAATCCTAGTACTGCAAAAAGAAAAAGAAACAACATTTTCAAGTGTCTGAGTCTATTCCACAGGCTTGGTGTTTTTCATATCCTAGTTTCAAAATATTACCATCTGTACATTTATTCGTCAAATATATTTGGAATATATCCAAGAATTAGGAGACAAGAAATATAAATCTAAGCAGTTTTCTTTAGATAGGGGCAAGTAGTCCTCAACACTTCAATAGCTGTTGGAGGCCACCACAAATTATTCTACAGGAGGAAGGGAAAATACTCATGGATGACTCTATTTTGCTTAAGGTGGTATGAAGGATTTACAAAGTTCCCTAAAAAAGAATTTGGTGCCTGAACCACAAACTTCATTTATCTGCAAAAGTCATTTATGGAGCTAGGTAGTGGCTCACATCTGTAATCCTTGCTACTCATGAGACTGAGATCTGAGGATAGCAGTCTGAACAAGAAAAGGAGGCAGGAAAGTCTACGAGACTCTTACATCTAATTAACTATCAAAGAGCCCGAAGTAAAACTATGGTTCAAGTGGTAGAGCATTAGCTCTTAGCAAAAAAGCTCAGGGACAGTGCCTAGGCCCAGGACCAGCACACACATACAAAAGTCTTTTATGTAGAACATCTGATAATAGTAAATGAATACCGCATGAACTATACTTTCTTCTGTAAAACCTAATCAGTAACTGTGCTGCAACACAGTATTGAAAGAGGCCTCAAAAAACATACATATACACAATATGTCTACTTCTAAAAGCTAGTTGAGTGCTAATAGACTTGCATGTTTTAAAGAAGTCAACTTACGATCATAGGTAATTATTTCTTCTCCATCCTCCTCTTTCAGGGATTTGTTAGTAATCAGCATAAAATCCCGCTTACTGCACACTGCACATCCTGTAAAGTTCAGTAGAAAAGATCCATTCTCCAGACAGGTGTTACCCTAAAATATTAAAAATAGGAATTTAATTTTCTTTTATTTTGAAATATTTGGTAAAAATTATAGACAATACTCTTTTAAAAAATTTTAAAAATCTCTAAAGGGGAAAACCTTGTTTGAAGTTGTTTCAAAAAGGGAATTTACAGTTAGGTACTGGTGGCTCATGCATGTAATCATAGCTACTCAGGAGGCTAAGATCTGAGGATCACAGTCTGAAGCCAGTCAGGACAGGAAAGTCCGTAAGACTCTTATCTCCAATTAACTACCAGAAAACTGGAAGTGGTGCTATGTTTCAAAGTGGCAGAGTGCTTACCTTGAGTGAAAAAGGTCAGGGACAGTACTCAGGCTCTGAGTTCAAGACTCATGACCAACAAAAAACCAAGGGGGGGGCGCTTGCCATACCCAGTAATTTTTTTTTAAATTACCAGCTTCCTTAAAGAAATATGATTCATAAGTAAAACTAAAGTACAGTGTTAGGTCTGTAAATATCTGAGGATTACAACTGTGTTTAAAAGAAAGAACTAAGTACGAGTAGATATTTAGAAACAATAATAAAACCCAGTTACATGTGAAAAGGAAAAATTAGAAAAAGATAATACCCAATAATACTAAATGGAGGACACTATAAAACTTGGGATCTTCCCAAGTTTAGGCCAACTGTTACAAAACATTCTTGAGACCCCATCTCGACCAATAAAAATTAGACATGGTGATATGTGCCTGTCATCCTAGCTAGAATTAAATTTTAATTAAAATGAAAACACTAAGTCAACACTAAAAATGGGACTGTTAACTATTAAAATAGCTTTTTCTTAAGCCTTTACCACAACATAACAAACAAAAAAGCATTACAATGTACAAGATGTCAGTCTTTACAGAAGGTTGAGTAAGGTTAAGTTCTACAGGTCATCAGATTGAGACAACAGTATTGAAGAAAGGGTTTACTTCATCACTAAGAAAATAACACATTCTTTGCTAAAGGCTTACTAATAATTGTTAAGGCATACATCATTTTATAAATAATTTAGCCTATAAGAGCAACAAATTTAGTGTTTTTATAAGTTTATACAATAAAAATCATTCAAATCAGCATTTCTCCAAAGTATGCATGTACCTGATAGTACGTAAGTGCCATGAGGATTTAATGATGAGCCAAATGAGTTTCTAACTTTCAAGGAGCTGAAGAAGTATCAGGGGACTTAGGACCCATCTTAAATGCCACAATGAAATCCTCCTGCATTTTGCTAGCCTCACAATCTCTCCCTTCTGAGAGGCCTCCTAGTTCTATGAATTAAGAAAAATTAACTCTGGTAGAGAGGAAATAAAAATATTACAATACAATTTGGAGACATAAACTTCCAGCTATAAAGAACAAGTGATTTGTTGTATTAAAAAAATAGCACTGGGCACTGGTGGCTCATACCTGTAATCTTAGCTACTCAGGAGGCTGAGATCTGAGGATCATAGTTCAAAGCCAGCCCAGGCAGAAAAGCTGTGAGACTCTCATCTCCAATAAACCACCAGAAAACTAGAAGTGGTGCTGTAGCTCACATGGTAAAGTGCTCACCTTGAGCTGAAGAGCTGAGGGACAGCAGCCAGGCCCAGAGTTCCAGCCCTAGGACTGACAAAAAAAAATTTAAAAAATAAATAATCTTCACTTGATAGACAGGCAAAAATTTCCCCTATCATCAAGTTGCAATTTAATGACTGCTAATACATAGGCAAAAATGTCCCCTATCAACAGGCTACAGTTTAATGACTGCTAATACATGCCCCCATAACCATTACAACTATCCAGATTTTTTTGGCAGTACTGAAGTTTGAATTCAGGACCTTCTTGCACTTGAGCTACACCCCAGTCCTACCCATGTCAAGATACAGACCATTTCTCTCTTCATATTTTCTTTGCAGACTATCTCTAATCTCCATCCTATATCAAATATCCCAGGATGAGATTTTTTTTTTCTCTAGAGCTGCATGTAAGAGAATTTTATATAGACATCATCAGTGTAATGTTTTATTCTGGCTTCTTTTAGTCTATGTTAATCATCTAGATAAGCTACACATACTGCTAAACCATAGCTTATTCTTGCCAAGTAGTCTTCTATGAATTCAGTTGATAATGGACAAGTGGATTTGTTTTAGTTTGGGGCAATAGTGGATAAAGCAGCTATGAAGATTCATATACAAGTCTTGTGTGTGTGTGTTGGTTGTGGGGCTTGAACTCTGGGCCTGGGCACTGTCCCTCAGCTCTTCAGCTCAAGGTGAGCCCTCTACCACTTGAGCCACAGTGCTACTTCCGGTTTTCTGGTGGTTTATTGGAGATAAAGGTCTCAACGGCTTTCCTGCCCGGGCTGGTTTTGAACCTCAATCCTCAGATCTCAGCCTCCTGAATAGCTAGGATTATAGGTGTGAGTTCCTGTGCCCACTGCTCAATTCATTTTAATAAAACCACTTCCTTGTCATTTTGGGTTTTTTTCTTCTGTTATTTGTGCTGTACCAGGGCTTGAACTCAGGGCCTTATACTTTATCTTTTTCTAAACATGACTAGCACTATAACACTTGAGCCACACCTCCAGTTTCAGGTTTTTTCTGGTTAACTGGAGATAAGAGTCTCTTGGATTTGTTTTCGCTGGCTGGTTTTGAACTGCAAAGCTCAGATCTCAGCCACTTCAATAGCTAAGATTATAGGCATGAGCCACTAGAATGTGCCTTTGTTGGTTTTTTTAAAAAATGTTCTTAGAAGAGCAGTAATGAATTTTATGAAATCTGATCTATCATTTTTCATTATATTATCATTTGTGCTTATTTTTGGTCGGTCATGGGGCTTGAACTCTGGGCTTGGGTGCTGTCCCTGCACCCTTCAGCTCAAGACAAGTGTTCTATCGCTTGAGCCACAGCAGCACTTCTGGTTTTCTAGTGGTTTCCATTGGAGATAAGAGTCT